TAAACTACAACACGAGTATGAGAGCTATGCAGACTAACCCACTGTCACATCGTTTAAAGGGGTGGCGCTTCTCACCCCACTGAATCAGGTGGTGACAGTACCACCCACAATCGTTCTAGGAAGGGACTCTGACTGAACACGTAGTATTTTCTTTGATAAATAAAATTTATAATTTAATTTTGTAAATTTAAGAGTGCTTCAAATATGACGTTAAAATAGGGTTTTATGTCGTTACAAGTGGGTTTTTTAACATTATCTAGTATAGTAAAATTGTGGGACCGATAAAAATTTGATGTTATATTAGGGTTGTCGTTACATCCGATGTCGTTATAATCGGGTTAAACTGTATATACACACACATCTAAATCAGTGTAAAATAGACTCTCTACTAAACTAACATGCTCAGATGAAAACAAATTTTGAATGGAACAATGGAATGATTTGCTATATAAAATAATATTGTCGGCCAGAAACTTGTCTAACGTGGAAATGGGAATACGTGTGTGGGAATATAACTGAAATAAAACAGAATTTTTTCTGGGTAAGGCCAAGACTCCACTAGCGTAAAAATGGGCGTAAAACCCCTCGCTGTAAAAACTTTTAACCGTGTGACCATGATATTTTACGACCTGCTCAAGCGTAAAACATCATGGTCACGTGATTAAAAGCTTTTACAGCGAGGGTTTTACGCCCATTTTTACGGTAGTGGAGTCTCAGCCTAACATCAAAATAATAAATCAAAAGAACTCAAAGCATTTCAAGACAAAATCTTGGAAAAAATAAAGAAAATGCAACTGTTTTTCAGTGATATAAAGAGTTTAAAATAACAAAATTCACACAAGTACTTTTCATAGTGTATTACTATTGTCTTTGGGCAACAAAGATCTGACAGACCACAAAAGATTCAAAACTGATGAATTTAAATTTTAAGTAAATCTTAAGAGCTTATAACTTATTGCTGATTTTAAAGACTTAACAATAATTACAAAGAGTAAAATGCAAGAAGATAACTTATGTCATGTATAAACTTAAACTAATTACTAACTGTGATACAAATGGGACCCTCCTCTTTAAGGGACAACTAGTATATTACATGTACAGTACCATTAGTTATGATGTACCGGTACAAGCAATTGGTTTCTAAGAAGTTTTGAACTTTTGTGTTTTGTCAGAACTTTCTTATCTGAGGACGACAATAACATACTGGAAAGTATTTGTGTGAATTTTGTTCAGTTAAACTCCTTATAATGCCAAAAGACAGTTGCATTTTTTTAAATATTTTTTCTAACGTTTAAAGGATAAATAAAAACTTTTGTAGATATTTGACTAATATTTATTATTATTATTGTACATCACAAATCATCCACAGTATTATTATAAAATATTTGTTTGTTTTTAGGTGCTCCCAAAGATAATCAAAATAGAGGAGGTTATGGTGGTATGAATAGACCAAATGCACAACCTGGAGGCCCTCCTCCAAAGAGAGGTCGTTGGGATCCTGCTGGAAATTCATTTAGTGGAGGAAGACGGTAATTTCTTTTTAATTAAAGTTTGAATTATAGATTTAATAATAATTATAAATTTATACATAAATGTTATATGTGTTTGTATTTAATAACAAAGTAATAATATAAATGTTACTAGATTTTTATTAAATATTGTTACAACATATTTCCTGGATTTTAAGATGCATCACGAATTTGAAATTGAATTTTAAGGTTGTTGACTGTGGTGGAGTACAAGCTGAAGAAGAATCATCACTGCCTTAGTAGTTGTAGCAGGGATGGTGATTTCCCATTTCTTTTTTATTTATACAACTCATATGGATTAAATGACCTAACACGAATACAATAAGTTAACTATATTTATTGTATTTGTATTAGGTCATTTAATTTATGCTCTGACATTCTGGAAGTAGTTCTTACACTCAACAGACCATTTTAAATGGCTATAGTTAATAAAGCAGTTTTTTATTCTATGGCTAACATTTGTATTCCTGACATAAATATTTATTGAGACATAAGCATACGTGGATAATTGAGAGTATACTGTATCTCATACAATAAGCATCCAATTTTTTAACCTAAATAACTGTTTTACACACAGCCATTCAACACTATTTATTTAAAATAATTCTTTGTTTTATTAACGTATACCAATTTTTAAATATTTGACTGTAAGAAAAACAAATATGATCTACATTGCAACGTAAAAGGAATCTAATATAAATCATATTATGTATTATTAGCACGATTGTGCCACATATACACTAGTATTAATACATGAAGTTCGGAGTTTGTACACATGTATATTCTATAATACACAAAACTCAGAACTTTGCACTTTGGAGGAAGGATAAGAAATAGACAAAATCATGTTGCATGCATGAACCAAATTTTCATGCATGTTTCTGAATTAAGTGCTATATATGTTTGTACACACTATTGGGAACCCTGGTTATATATACATTGTTTTAATATATTTATTTAAGTTAATGCAAAAATCCATACTCTATGAATATTGATTGTAATAAATTGGATTATTGAATATTAGCAAAATGGTATATTTTGTAGTCCATTCACTCCTAATTGTTTTATTTTTGATATTGCAGTGACTATCAAACACCTGGTAATACTGGATATGGAGATTATGGTGCAGCACCAGATGTACAGAGCACTTACCTTACGGGCACCGATTATCAAATGAACTCGCAACCGCCAGCAGAAGATTATTCAGGCGGATATAAAATGTCTTCAGATTCTAGGACTGGTTACCGTGGTGGATACACGGCTGCAACAACATATCCAAATAGTTATAATGGAGGAGGATATGGTGAAAGTAGTTACGGTACGTAAAAGTTTCTCTACTGTATTCGTACATTATAGCAAATTACAGTGAAATTTATTTAATGAATTTTGGTATTTTATTGTAATATGAAAATTTAAGATAGAAAATATTATTGCTATGCTCTGTGAGATGTACTGTACTTTGCTTATAATTATAGTATAGTAAAAAACAAGCAGCTATCAAATGAGGAACACAAGGAAATTGATGTAGTCTTTGTGTGGATTATTCATAGCTAGGTTATGTAATTGTTTTAAAAATTTTGTGTTGTGCCCTTAACAGTTTTAGTTTTATATGAAGTGAGTGTGTCTGAAAAAAACAAAACTTCTCACTTCCATAATAGGAAATGGGAAATAAAATACTTTTTGTTCTAATAAAGAATAAATGCTGCTGTTTAGTTTATAATCAGGGCTGTGGAGTTGCGTAAAAATCTACTGACTCCAACTTTTCCTTACCATCCGACTCTGACTCCGTTTCATATACATAACAAGTTGGTAAGTAAAAGGGAGTCGGAGTCAGCAGATTCTTTGACGACCCTGACTCCACAGCCCTGTTTATAACACTTAACTGTCTTAAGCAAATATAGAAACCTGGATTATGATTATAATGCAGTGGTTCTTAACCTTTTAGTGATGAAGGACCATTTATCAAAATTTTTGTCTTGTCATGGACCATGAGCTGTTTGGCAGTAATATAGGTTTTTATAAGGTTGTTCTATAAATTAAACACGTAGAAAATTATTCGGAACCAAGAGTATTATATTATTTGTGAAAGTGTTACATTAATTACATTCTTTTAGTGCGATTTTTGTGACTGCATACTGTTTACCAACTGCTGAGTTCTTGGTTCAGTGCTACTTAAAGGAAATGCATGTCGGCACTGGCATCCAACCAATTTTGATGTTTATTTTTAATTATCAAAAGCACTGAGAATCCTTGCTCGCATAAATGTGTGGTTGAAAAAATAATTAGGCACTGTAAAGCAGTTTCTCGAATTTTAGGGAAAGCAATAGCTTTTTGGCTCCAAAAATCTTTAAGATTAATTCCTGTCTCGAATGTATCCTTGCAGTTACTATCATGTTGCATTTCAATTAACTCTTCTTGTATTTCATCTGTCACCTCAGAAATGTTGACTATGAAAGGATTGCAAATCAGTTTCCGAATATCTTTGTCCTTGCAGTCAGGAAAATAGCGATTGAATTCATTTTTTCAAGCTTTGCAAATGGAATGTAATGTTCTTTTGTATTTGTCCTTCAATTTCAGCACTGTCAATCAATAATTGGGTTCAATGTATCAAACGCAGAAAAATTCTCTCTTTCGACCTTGCTGGTCCATAGGTCGATTTTACCAATAAATGCACTGATTTTATCTTCAAATGCAAATTTATTGCTAGTGACTTCCAGTTTCATATTTTCTGACCGCGCACCTTACCCCAGCCCAGTCCGCTATCGGCTCTAACCTTGACATACTGCGCATTGTCATCAACGCATCGTCATTTATTTAATAATTTTGGGATAACTTTTGCGGGCCACTTCGGATGCTTTCAGGGACCACAGGTTAAGAACCACTGTTATAGTGAAATAAATAGATGAAGCTGTTTTAGAACATAATTTTATTTTAATAGAGGCCAATCTAATAAACTTTTACCAAAGAATAAAAATGTAGCTGAAGAGCTGCAACACATCTGACTATAGTCCACTCATTACCATAAAAAATTAGTGAACCAAGAAGGCGTCGTCGGAATTGAACAAAATTGTACATGTGTGAGTGTAACAATGATGTAAGTGATTATAAAATGAAAGCAAAAGGATCATTTATTGCAGGAAATACTACAAATGAAAGGAGGTTCTTGTATCCTATTGGGCCACCTCTAGCATGAATACATGATGTAATATGGGAAGGCATGGAGGCATTCGGATGCCATAAGGTGTCCTGTGGCATCTCAGTTCATGGTTGCTGCAAGCAGTCCTCTACTTCAACCAAACTCCTAGGCTGTCCAACTTGGCATCCTGGGTGATCCCAGACATGTGTGATTGGGGACAGGAAAGCCAGGGAAATGTGGCATTTTGGCAAAGGCAGTCCTGTGACACCCTTGCCCTGTATGGTTGAGCATTGTCCTGTTGGAAAATGGCTCTTGGGAGCCCTACCAGAGAGGCAACATATGTGGCTGCAGGATGTTACTAACATACCACTGGGCTGTCATGTTTCCTTGGATCACTGCTAGAGGTGACTGGCTGTCATGATGGCATCCCAGACCATCACACCAGTTGTGGGGTGGTGTACTGCTACAAAGCATAGGCAGGATTGAGACATTCATCTTGGGCCTCCAGACACAAACATGGCTGTTGACAGTGCCAAAACTGAATCTGGATTCATTGCTGTAGACAACTCAGTTCCATTCCGTCCAATCCCATTGATAGCAACACCACTCCAAACTGAGGTGACAATGGTGGCACACATATTGGCTGTTGCAATAAAAATGTTCCTCATCCAGATATTCCAAAATGATACGGACAGACATGAGCCTGTAATGATGGTGCTACCTGTGTCTGAAATGGTGGACAACAATACGATTGGCTGTGCATTTGTTGGAAGACCAGGTGGTCCTTTCAGATAGTGGTCTGCCAAGGGCATCTTGGACCTGGTTGCCATAAGTGCAAACTCTCTCTCGTCTATTGGTCCCAACACCACCTCACAGTGTTGTCAGAACAGCCTAGGCAGACTGGCAAGATGACCATCCAGCATTTCTCAACCTGGTGATCCTTTCTTTCTCAAGCTTTGTTAGTTTTTCGCATGGTCTTCAATTGCAAAGTAAAGTCATCTCTAGTGATACAGCATGCCTCTGCAACAGCTAAATTACAGACAGGATGCCTTTGCATGCTTTTTTTTATAAGTCAAGAGGGTGGTGCACTTTAACACCCTCTGTTGACATTACACAATGAGCCATCATGCTATAACTCTAATCATTTCCTTATCTGCATGCCAAGTTTTGCAGCAAAACAACAACTGCTTATTAGTGTGCTAATTTTTATGGCAATGAGTATAATTTGCACGCCACTTCAAGTTAGCTAGACCTAGTATATACCAGTTTATTCTATTAAATTATATGGTTTACTAGATTAATTAAAAAATTGTAACTTCCATAAAATGCAAGGTTTGGTCATTTAATTTACAGAATTATTCTCATATTTTTTCTCCTGTGAAATTTCCTTTGCCAACATCTTAGAGGTCACCTGACATTACAGTAAAAGCTTATTAACCTATCCCGTGTTGAATTTTTGTCAATGTTAAGCCTAATGAAAATTATACGTTTTTGAAAAAAATAATTGTATTGTCTGAAATTATTTTTTTATTTTGCACAAGCAAAATAGAAATATTAACCTGTCCTGTGTTATTCCCAACAATTCTTGGGGTCATGACTTCTGAACTCGAGTGTTTGACGTGAGATATCTTGTTACAGTATCAGTACGTTTTTGGAACTAGATGATGCTGAAATGAGATATCTCGGGAATACCAAGGACTAGGTTAAGCCATTTGCTGGTGCATCAGTTGTGGCCGAGACTGATGCATACCGGAATGCACCCATTGAGACAATGGTGTAATGCAATAAGTCAATTGTGTATATAATTTTAAAAATAATGTGATATTTGAATTATTTTATTAAGATAATGTGTTTTTATCAAGTTTTTGTACAATAATTGAGCATTTTATATAAAAAATTGGCAAGCCTTTGTTTTTGTAGTTGTTAAATTAAAATTTAATACATTTATTAGATCATACAAAAAAAAGGAATTTTCAATTATTTTATATATAAAATATTTTTGAAAAATATTTTTTAAACAAATAATAATAATTTTGTGATTCAAGATGGAAGAGGAAATTACGAATCATATACAAATCCTGCTGGTGCAGTTAGCAGTTATGGAAAAGATTATGGTCCCGGTATGTTTCGATTTTCATTCTTTTGACTAATATAATTATTATTATTTTCTAATAATTAAAAATTTACTTAAATCTCTATTAATAACAATTTAAAAATTTCAAAGAAACAAAACACNTACATCATTGATAAACAGTGTTTAACAGTTAACACTGATATTAGTACATTGCATTTATGCTGGATATTATATTATATTATATATAGGAAAAAACAGTCCAAAAAAAATTCCCTTAATATAAAAATAACATTACTTAAAGGGGATCTTATAAATACTTTAAGAATTTGAACTTGGACTCAAAAATAAAGAAAATATTCTGAGTGTTTAAATCATGAATTTAAAATTTCGAGTTATGTTTTGACAATGTATATATACATAATCTTTATAATCCAGCCAAATTTAAGACAAATGTCTTGTTAAATTGACTTCAGTATCATTTTTTATAAATGAAAAATGATTTTGCT